CCGAACTGGTGTCTCAGACAAGATGTTACTAAAACAAGTATTGCTAGAAGCCTACAATGTTTAGCCTGGCAAGGTTTTTATCCATTTGTTTACTGTGATTTCAAAAACTTTGCTAAAAACACCTCCTGCAGTCAACAGTGACTGTATTAAGACAGTTGAGCATTTATGTTTCAGTGCATGTAAGGTTTTCTTTTTTAACTGAAATATTACTCTTAAGTAAAATGTGGGATAAAGTCTACAAATGGAAAGATTTTAAAATGTCTTTCCCAGTTAATATTTATAATTTTTTTCACTTTAAAGAGATGAAATACTCTTTCCCCTCCATGTTGAGCATTTCATGGGGAAATCATCCATCCTCTGCTCTAAAACCTGCCAACCAAGAAAAATATTCCCAAGCAAGAACTCTGAAGGCATTTTGAGATTCAGATAACAAATTAATGCTCTTAAATACTTTTTACACACCATATTTGCCCATCTTTTAAACATAACCATAACTATTTGGTGATCAAAGTGCAGATGTTCAACAAAGATCATTGTAATCCTGGTTACTGTGACTATAATTCGTGCAAAAGCATCTCAGTTAAGGCCAGGCCCATACAAAGCAGGTATGGGTAGTGAGCCTAAGGGACCTACTATTTGGAGATTTTTTCCAAGTACTCACACAGAAAGGAAACTAGTCAGGGTGACAATTTTCGCCAGAATCAAAGACTTAAAAATGAAAATCCATTACAGACTGATTACAAAATACTTCTCCAAGTGGTGTGGTTTAAAACTGATTTTATCCTCATCCTGCAGAGCAATTTGTGATTACTGGGAGGAGAGAAATGATGAATGAGGCTTTGAGGGGTTCTGAAATTCTGCTGTTATCGTTATCACCTGAACAACCCCAAAAACATTTGTGGTATAAAGCCATTTTGTTACTTGGTGAGCTAACAGGGTAACTTTTGTAATAGCTGATGAGGTCCCAAAAGAAATTCAATTTGCAGAAGGTGACCTCAGAGTTACACCCACCACGTAGTTTTCCTCTATCCATATTTTCAACTATCAGGCAATCTCAAGTTAACTCAGTCCACTTGAGGAGATATGGGGAAAGAAATAGCTCTAGTGACTCAGGCACTTATCTTAGGAGAAAGGAAGCCTGAAAACTTCTTACATGGTTGATAATTTCTGCTTATGATCTGGAAAACGCAAAAGAAAATGCAGAGCCCACAATACTAAACCACAGTTTATGGAAATTTGAGCTCAAATATTGGACAACTAACTAGAATTGTTACCAAGTAAAACCAAGTCATTTCTCCTCGCTGCTAACACTGCAGAAATTCTGAAGTTATCACACCTCAGTGTATACTGTTGACTTGCTCCACTTTACTCTGCTTTAAAACAGTGAAAGTCAACTAGCAAGTCTTATTCCAGTTTGCAGCCTGTATTTTTCCACCCTAGATTTAAAACCGTACGGTAATGGAAATGGTACATTATTGTGCTGATACATATGAAACAATGAAGGCATTTCAGCCTCAGGCCAGTGTAAATCCCAGGGCAATACTCAGTCCTTACACAGCAGTCGTGGGAGCACAGGAGGGTGGGAAGACTGGTAATGCCAATAAAGGCTCTGTACAAGGTCCCCACACCAGCCTGTCACAGGTAATGCACTCAGAGAACCTGGCACCACGCTCCTTCGGGTATCAGCTTGGAGAACCCACAGCTTTTTTCCCTTAGGACTGGAGCCCCACATCTCCTCCTCCAAAATCCATGCTACTTTACAGGCACTGAGAGTGGATTTTGTCTCACTGGTGATTTTTGGCTGCCAGTAGCAGCCAGTAAATATGGCTCCCAAATAGCTTTACATCATGTCTTTGCACTTTGCTTCAACCAATAAACCCAAACGTGTTTTACAGATTATTATTTTTGTACTCTAAGTAGGTTAAAAACATCTGGAGGTATTAATAGCAGAAAGATAAGAAAGTTTTAATTTCAGCTTCCCCGTGTCAGGTGCTTTCTTTGCGAGCTCTTTTCATATCACAAGGTACTTACTCCACCACCTTCTCAGTGCTGTTCACCAGGGCAGCACCATCTCCTCACTGTCATTTGCATTTCAATGTTCTACCCATACCCGAATGTCAGCTCTGACACACCGACTACACGGGAGGGAGCAGCTCGGCAGGATTCCTCGGGAGCTGCAGCAGCACAGGAAGTGGGAACATTGTGGAAGCTGGCAGGAGACTGCCCTCATCCCGGATCCCTACCTAGCAATCCCAGAGTGGACCTCTGGGGCTCTGTTTTCAGGGGCTGGGGAAGAGAAGGTCCAACAGCTTCACACACAAAGAAAAAGAGAAAGGACTATTAACACCACCTGAAACCCGAGCTCATCAGAAAGCAACCAGAACAAGAAGAGCAGTGACAAGGAGTAAAGCTGCAGATCCCTAAAGAGAAAAGGGCAAAGAAAACGTGGGCAACAAGCAGGGATGGGAGGGGCTAATCCTAAACTGGGATGAGGGGCAGCTGGAGGGAAAAGGGCAGTTTAAGAGCAAAGACTAAACAGGAAAAGGGAAAAGGAAAGGAGAGACACGGGAGTGTAAATTCAGAAACAAAGTAGAGAAAAACATGTTACAACTTGTTAACTTAAAGTAAGCTTTTCGCATACATAGTTTTCCTAGTGTGATACAGAAGGTTAACAGTGATTGCCAATGTCTGTGACCCTAACCAATAACCTTCAATAGTTATCTTTATATTTTACTATCCTGTTTAGGCAAAGAAATCAATATTTAGGAGGCATTTAGCCAAACAGCATCTGCCCTTTACTTTTCTTTAAATGACTGATTCTAACCAACTCCTTTACTTGGAGAGTAAACAGAAAAGAATAGGTATTTTGGTAAACATGCCTGCAAGTGGGTTTTCTAAGGAGCTGAAAAGTCAGAAACACAAATTATCCAAGAAGCTGAAACGGTACTTTGCCTCCTTGCTCTCTCTCTTTCACAGAAGCAGCCATAACTCTTTCCCATACATAAGGAATGCTGTTGCTTCAAAATAACTGTATATTTATTTACATAGTTAATGCGTGTTCTAAAATAGAAGGAAATGCAAACATTGCATCCATTATCAACTGCAGCTGGGTAGAAGTGCCTACCAGCAGCAAGGCCAGGCAGGAAAGTCTGCTGGCTCCTTGCCCAAGCTCAGGAATCACCCCCTACCTGCCACTACTGTTCAGGTGAGGCACTTGAGGCAAACAGAACTGCCCAAAAAATGTCATTTAAGAAATCTGTAAATTAAGTTATCTGCATGAGATATCCTAACAAGAAGGTAAAGCCATCAAGAAATGAACACAGAAGATTAATCATGGAAAGTTACTCATGGAAAAATTGGTAACTCACTTCTTGCACAGTTCTACGTTTTAGAGACTAAAATGAGATTTGCCTGAAAACACACAGAGCAGTAACTTTGCCAGGAAGATGCTTCATCTGGATAAATCATCTTAGCTACTTTCCAGACAAAACCTTTTAAACCACCGTGAAAGTAGATTACGAGCTCTAACTGGTCAAAACGACCAAATGAAATCTCCACAAGTATTTGCTGCTCTGCTACACCACTGGAATCAAACTGTCTAGATGAGGCTATAAGTCAAAAGTCACACGGAATTAAGCAAAGCACATCTCGTTTGCAATAAAGGTACTCACTCAGCCAGCAATTTTAAACAAGTTCAAGTAAACTCTCTAACTATAGAACCTAATCACAGGAATTCCATAAAGTCTTGGCTCCTAAAACAACTCCATGTTCTTTCCTTCCTGCCCATACATCTCCGTGTATTATTTTTTCTCTAAATATCCGAGAATAAAGTGCTTTAGCAGACATGAGACAGCCATTAAGCCACAAAGAGTAAGGGGAAAAACTTTGGAGGCACTTAAGAAGCAATTAAAGAAGAACGAAAGCCAAGCCCTACAAAATGAAACGGCAAAGACCTAAAATAAACAGAAATCACGTTCTCTAAGAACGGACCCCTATTAAATTCGAGGTCAGAGATCCACCACACAACGCTCCTCCTCCTCCTTGGGCTCACGGAGGGGCAGCCTGGACATTCTGTGTCAGGTATCAGCTGCTCCATAACTAATCGACCATCGCAAAGTGTTTACATCGTTTTACTTGCTGTCCCAGAGCAAATCGCAGCCTTCCCGGTCTAGCTTCAACTTCACCCGCCGTAAAAACTGGCGAGCAGACCGACCCACCTGCAAGCCCAAAATAACCTTCGAGAGGAAGGGAAGCACCGAAGGGAGGATGGAATGCAGCTACACACGTACACAGCAACACGCAAAGCCTTTCAAGTCAGGAATTCTCGGTAATAACAGAGCAGGGGCAGAGCCCCGGCAGGGACAGCATCCACCCGGCACCCACAGCGGCTCCATCCCGGGGAATTCCTCGAAGGTGTGAGCCCGGCGGCGGCGGGCGCTCCCCGGCAGGGCGCGGGATGGCGCCGCACGCCCCGCGCGGGGCTGCGGGCACGGGGAGCGCCCGGGGC